TCCGTGGGGCGGGGAGGCTGCGGGGACGAGGGCCGCGGTGCGGGAGCTGTGTTTTCCGGGGCTTGCCCGCGGCAGGGCTCACACCTCCGCCATGCCGCTGATGGCTCCTCTGGATTTTTCCGTTCCTAATCAAATCGCGTCAGGTCGGGTTTCCCTCCCGAGCCGCCTTCCTGCTAGCTCAGCAGGGCGCAGATGCAGTCCGCCAGCACAGGCGACGGCAGGAGTCAGCAGCTCGAGCAGGTCCCGCTCCGCAGCCCGCGGGTGCCTGGGACCCTTCGGAGGGTGAAAGGTGACCGCAGGACAAGGAGAACGGAGAAACTGCTGCTGCCTGTGCCCTGATCTGCCCACTGGAAGGAGACCTGGTGCACGCAGGGCTTGACAGGCAGCTGATAAAACCGGTTGGGCTTTCTCCGTCCCACTCATCAGGACTCTGGATTTTGTGTGCTCTGAAACCAGAGCTCCCCTTTCGCTCCCTCCAGCCACAGCCAGTGCTGCCTGTGTTGTCAGTGCTGACCTGAAGGAGCTTGGCACGAGGTGCGGGCTGTTGAGAGATGTCCTGGACCCTCGCTGCCTCTCCTGGGTCCCCGCTCTACCCATGAAGTGTCCGTCCAGCAGTGCTTGCCAGGGCTGACAGGCATGGAGGGCAAGGTGGAAACAGCCCGTGCACATCCCACCAGACATACAGGAGCCACACACGGTGCTCTGCAGGAGGCGGCAGCATGCTGGGGATGCACTGCCTTGCCTGTCCCCTGCCAGACGACGCGGTTGTGCTCCACGCTGGGTGCAGCCGAGGCGCCGCGAGGCTCTTTCATATGGTGTTGAGCCGTCCGGTACCAGCGCCCTGCCCAGCAGCCGTGGCACCGCGGTGCCCTACCTGCCCCGAGGTCTGGCAGCGGCCGGAGCGTGCTGCGCACATCCCCACTGGGAAGAAGGGAATTAGCTTGTGCACCTTCTTCGGTCGCTGGACCCGACGGGGTGAGCTGGGGTCTGTGGTCCTGCTCCCAGCCTCGATGACTGTGTGAACTTCCTCATGGGGTCTGTCCCCAGGACACGGCTGAGTACTTGGCTACAGGACACGCAATGCCGACATCTCTCACTTGTCCCATGGTTTCACCCAAACCGGTTGCACCCGCTGCTACCCAGAGCCTGGAAGTGCCCCCTTGAAGTCACCAAGGGTACGGGACTCTTCCAGCCGAAGCACGACGGGGAGTAAAGGGCACCAGCGTGCCTTTAAATAGCCCAGTGAGGACAGGCTCTCCTGGGAGGAATGCTCTGGCTGGCCCGGTGGAACGTGCATGGGGCCAGGGGCGCGGGGGGACAGCCGGGCAGGGACGGCTCCTCACCAGGAGGTCAGGTCAAGGTTAGGCATTGCCCTTGTCAGGCTTGGCACCACGGGTGCAGGGCTGTGCAAGGAGCGGGGAAACACATGCCAGGCCGGGGTCCCACCATGCCTGGGGCTGATCTGCAAGGTGGCAGCGGAGCTGGGCGGGCGCTGCTGCCTGCAACCCGCCTGCTGACCTGCGAGGGCTTCGGCACCGGCACAGCCTGGCTGCCGGAGCAGCCTGCCCGGCAGCTCGGCTTGGCCAG